TTAAATTTAGAAAAATTTAATAATTTAGATGAAATATTTGATAAGAAGATATAGTAAAATATAGTAGGATAGATATAATATAAGAAGAAAATTTAAGAAAATTTTTGTTTTGTATAACGTTATCCAAATATTATTTTTGGGATTCCCTAGTTAATATGGAGGCTATAGTAAGAAAAAATAAAATAATTGTTTTTAAGATAGCACGAGAGTACCTTGTATAACAATAAGATGATTGGTGAAGACCAAATTACACGAGGGTTAAAAATAAACAAATAAGAGAAGAAAGAAAGTTGAAAGACATTCAAATATATTAAGTCGACGGAGCAGCGTTGATAGTACGAGTTCAATTGGCAGTCGGCCGAGTGTTTCACATTATAACTCGGCATATGCAAATATGCGCGATACACCGGTTACAAAACGTAAACGTAGTGGTTCAACTTTAACCAACGTTGAGGTAAATTAATATTATAAACAATTTCTACAATTTACCTCGACATCAATTAACCTTTTATTACATTTTATTAATAATTAGACCGAAGATGAAATTGAGCAATCTCCTTCAGTTCGGCGTCGGCGCGTTAGTTCTAGTTCGCTATCCGAAGATAAACCCCAAGTTTCACCTGTTACATCCAATAACAATGGTACCTTCTCAAAATTACTAAGTCGACTGTTTGGACGACGTTAAGGTTGCAATCAACTTTTTTGTTTTTGGATTATGACACTATATAGTTTTTGTCCGGGAATCGGGATTCATACTTCATCTGGGATAATAAAACCCAAATATATGTCCCATAACTTTTTTAATGATTTTCCACAAATTAGGCATTTAAGTAAAGCAGTCGAATTAAATTTATACATCAATTTATTTAAGATTTAAATAGGAATTAATGTCTTTTATTTTGACTTGTTTTTTTTTTAAGATGCAATTTATAAATTTTCAAAAATATTCTAAAATTCGGATGGTTTTTTTTTTGAGTGGTTTTTTCTTTTTACTATAAATATTTATTTATTTTGAATATTTTTTAACTGTTTTTCTTAACTTTCAAAATTTTTTTCTAGTTTTATTTTTTATTTTTTCAATGTATATATATATTTTTCTTTTTTTTTTTACAGTACAAAGTTATTACATTGGTTAAGACTTGTTTAACTTGAACATCAACTACAGTAAATATATATTTCAAATTAAAAATTTTGACTAGTTAAAAGTTGAGTTGATTATATATATATATATATATATATATTATATATATACGATATATACATATATATATATATATATATATTTACTAAATTAATTACAGTATTAAATTATAGTATATATATATTTTGTATATATAATATTAGATAAAATAAAATTAGTTTTTTTTATAATTTTGTTTTGTATAATTAAAAGCTATACAATATATATATATATATATATATATATATACTGTATATATTATTATATTAGCGTATATTAGTATTTTTAAAATTTTATTAAGTAACTCCGTGTAACTTCTAATTGTAGTAAATCTGATTCCACCAATGGAATCCTTGATATCAATTTCCTTAGTGTAGTTTTTACCGTTTGTCAATCGGGTTAATAATTAACAAGTTATTAAGATTTAAAGATATATAACTATAGAAGATAATAAATAATAATTTGTCACCCCTGTGACGCGGGACCCGTTGGTACAGACCCGTTGGTACAGACCCGTTGACACAGACCCGTTGGTACAGACCCATTGGTACAGACCCATTGGTACAGACCTGTTGGCACAGACACAGACCCATTAACATAAAATATTATTTGTTCTTATGTAGAGTTCTAAAAGATATAAAAACCTTGTCTTTTTGCCCAAGGCAGGATAGGTTTTGCCAGATTCTAACTTGTATTTTCCTAACCTTTTTCCTATTAAATAAATAATATACCTTTGACCAT